AAAAAACAACAATAAAATAAACTACTTAAAATATGCCAATATTTATACACACATACATGTACATATATATATTTGGCTTTCTTTTACTCAAATTTTGCATTTGTTTATAAGATCATCTGCACTCGCTCTCTCACTCTCTCACTCTCTCACTCTCTCGCTCTCCCGCTCTCTGCCTCTCTCAGCTCTAGCTACATGTGATTTGCTGCGTGCGAGGGGCTTGTTTTCAGCGTCAAGCGCCAAAAAAATCTATTAGCACACATAGCACATATCAAGCTCGCAGCCAGACGTATATATGTATATTTGTATATATGTATATTTGTATATATGTATATATATACATGTGGGTAGCAATGTGCTTTAAATTATATTTACTTTTTCTTCCATGGCAACGGAACGGTAAGCGGCATTAAAGTTTCAACGCGAGGTAGAAACAGCTAGCGATGGTACACGAGGGGAAAAATACTTAGCATATGGTCTCAATATACAATATATGGTGAGAGATAAGGTGTATTAGTCGATGATTAAGAAAATAAGCCAGACATAGTATGACCATACTCTTGAATTGGTTTGTTAAGATCATTACGATTATATTGAAAAAATTGATTTAAGGGGTCTTACAATTTACCTAAATCGACAATGTAGATCATTTATATCACATAGATCATATTGTTGTAGATCGTATTGATCATATTGATCATATTGATCATATTGATCATATTGATCATATTGATCATATTGATTATATTGATCATATTGATCATATTGATCATATTGATTATATTGATCATATTGATCATATTGATCATATTGATCATATTGATCATATTGATCATATTGATCATATTGATCATATTAATCATATTGATCATATTGATCATATTGATCATATTGATCGTATTCATCATATTGATCGAATTGATCATATTGATCATATTGATCATATTGATCATATTGATCATATTGATCATATTAATCATATTAATCATATTGATCATATTGATCATATTGATCATATTGATCGTATTCATCATATTGATCGAATTGATCATATTGATCATATTGATCATATTGATCATATTGATCATATTGATCATATTGATCATATTGATCATATTGATCATATTGATCATATTGATCATATTGATCATATTGATCATATTGATCATATTGATCATATTGATCGAATTGATCATATTGATCATATTGATCATATTGATCATATTGATCATATTGATCATATTGATTATATTGATCATATTGATCATATTGATCATATTGATCATATTGATCATATTGATTATATTGATCATATTGATGAAAATATTGATAAGCTAAGTTAGACAATTTTTTTAATTTTTTTTAATTATATGTTCAAAATATATTTTTAACCGTGGCTAGAGTTCGGGCTTCTCAATGCTTCAATATTTTCGCCAACAATTAAAGCCCAAGAAGTTTATGACCTTCCTAAAAGAGGTAATGCACATACATATATATGTCTATATATATAGTCCATATAATTATCTATTCATTCATTAAAAAGTACGAAACCGGTTGGCTATGAAAAGCTCTCTATCTCTTTCCCTCCGTTTCCATTAGCCCTCTCCCACTCTAACTGACTCTTTCAGTCCGTATCTATGTATACGATAGCGCCTAAACAAAATTCGCGCATTGTTTTTTTCGAGAATCCACATGCTTATACATTTTATATATATATGTATATATGTAATACTAGAGCTATGAATGTGCTTAATATATATACATATATTAGCGCTTGTTGGGATTTCTTTTTTGTGACATTTTTCTCGTGACTTTGGCATGTGGGGCGGCTCAATTGTCGTGTTAACACATATCATGAATCATAAATTATGGCAGCGTAAATGTTTCGTAAATATGTATCATGTCAATATCGGCCATATGTAATCATATAAGCTTAGTAGCCATGTAATTGTGTTAAGATTAAAGATGTGTCAAGATCATAAAATACAAACGACGTCACGATTAATTTCCCAATGTGATTTTCCGGTAGTCATCGTTTCATTTAACAGATACACCCAACATGATAAGATAGCTAAATAAACGCATGATATAAACCTGAGTTTATATTTTTTTGGGCACGTAACTTTCAGGTAAATAGATAAGACTGCCGACTGAATATAATACACTTGTTTGTGTGTATATATATATGATGGTCTGGCACCGACATATTTCTAATGTAACTTTAGACTTATGAAATGGTTTGGATTTCTTTCAGCGAATTTCGCCATTTTATAGAATCTGGATTATAACTGGCATGTGGTGTAAAAATCGATACTTATGTGATGTGAAACGGAATCACGAAACGCCTGTTGGTGCGACAACCCCCAAAAATAAACAACAAAAACAGTCTTGATGATATCAGCTGTTTCAGCTAGGGGTAGCTAATGGAGCACTCACCTCAGCTGCGATTTTCTGCTGGACATCGACTCCTCGATGCCTGAATTTGGCGCGCTTCAGTAGATCCTGCTCGCTATAGACGTCGACATCGATTTGACTGCACTTGCCATTTGCATCGTTAAGGTCGAGAGATGTGGCAGTTGCCTTGCTGCGGCGCTGCACCACTTGGCCAGGACCCACGCGACCCTTGGCCGTGTGGCTGCTGAGCAAACGCAAATTCAAATTCGCAAGCGTTGGCACACCTTTAAACATTATCACAATAAGACAAACAGCTGCTGATGACTTTCTTTTCGGGGGCAAAACTCTTGACTGTAAACTGTTGTTAGCTACGATTCGTGTGCAGATATGCGTGTATCTATATCTATATCAATTCACTCTGCTGTCTGTGCACATGCGTTCTCTGTGACGGCTCACAAGGTACTGAAATGACGACTGGCCGCAGTGCTAAACACATAATCAGCTCAGCTGGCAGCAGCAAAAACTGCGTTGACGACGACGACGACGATGCCGCCGGCGTTTAGACTTCTTTCAGTTTTGCGTGGCAATGTTTAACTTGTGAGTAAGCAGTGTGGCCCGTCAATGGAGAGAGAGAGAGCTACTAATATAGAGAGAGAAAGCTGAAGCCGCGTGGGCGGCACGTTCTCAACTGATGTAGTTGGGGGCTCGTCTGACACCATATGACGTCACTTGCCAACTAAATACAGTTTGAGCTACTAAATGGCTGATTGATTGACAGATAAAGTGTATGAACAGATTACTCGCAGCAGTACGTGCATGATTTTATGCATACTTTGTTTAGTTTTTATTACATGTTTTCTTTGATTCCATAATAAAGTTGCTTCTGCACATTGAAATCAACAAATATGCCTTTTCTATCTATTTACTTATCCAGCTCTTACTGAATGGAAATTCTTACAGTTCCTGAAGCCCTTGTTAGGATATACCGATTGAAGGATTTTCACAATTCTATAATTTATAACCACTAATTCAATCCTTATTGCCGTACTAACGCATTTCTATGATTAATAATTCATTCAATTCAAATTTAACCGCTCAAATTGCCCACGCGCTTATGCAAGGGATTTTACTAATCGTTGCTTTATATTATCGGATCGCCGTCACTTTGCTGTTAACTAACAGAATTTATTGTGAATTAGATGTGTTAACTAACATAATTATGCAAAGTTAACTAACATAATTATGTTACCGCAATTTTACCTTACATAATTGTGTTAATGTAATGTAAAGTAACAGGTTACTGTTATGTTAAATAACATACATATGTTACTGTTATGTTAAGTAACATATATATGTTACTGCTGTGTTAACTAACAGTAAACAGAATGTTAACTTAAATAATTATGTTAAATAACATTTTCATCCTTCTACTCGTTTCTGTGCGCCTAGTACTTTGGTCGAATTTTTGGTGAATCATTGCGGACAAGCCACAGTCGCAGTTGCCCCTCAAAGCCGGGCAACAACAAAAGTTTTTATCCATGATGACGTGCAGTTACTTACTGCTCATTTCTGTTCGCCTGGTATTTCAGTCGAATTTCAATCAAAATTTGTGGCTAGCTGGCTGGGTTGCTGCTAGATAGTTAATTTCCAGCCCTAAAAGTATGCTATAATTGTAATTTTTACCAATATTGCACTGCTCAGACCTTCAGCCTAAAAGTATTTTACGAAAAAATAGCTGATAATACACCCTGAAAAAAAAGTTAGTAGTCACTGATGCACAGCCTAAAAGTATTTTATGAAATAGCCCATTTTTCAAACCATCCCAAAAGTATGTATTGAAATAGTTGAAAATACACCCAGCAGAAAACTTTAGTACTCAACGATCACCTTAAAAAGGCTGACAATGCATACCCCCAATCCAGCTGGCGGGAGTAACACACACTGGACAGGCGTCTCACTTTTGGGCCGCACCTCAAAGCTGCGGTGAAAAAATGTCGTCACAGAGCACCTTGCCACTGAGATGCAAGAAGCTGTCTACGTGCAGTGTATCCTACCGATATGGCTCTATGGAGTGCAAATCTGGGGAATTGCTGCCAAATCCAATTACAAGCGGGTTCAGTTATTGCAGAACCGAGTACTACGACAGATAACCAACTCTCCCTGGTATATACGCGGCTCAATACTCCACAGAGACCTCAAGCTGTTTACTGTCGAAGTGCAGATTGGAAGACATACAAGCAGATACACGGATAGATTGCAACGACACCGAAGCCTACTTCCAAGAGGTCTAATCCCTGCCAGACCCCTGAGACGACTTAAACGGTAAGGCTTTGCCAAAACGATGGGAATGCTGTAAACTATCTCCTTAATTCCTCATAATGTGACTGTGGTTTGGTTTTAATTTCATATATATACATGTATTGTTCAGATACTAAATTTGATTGTACAGGTTCTACACTTAATAATAATAAAATACTTTTGTTTTTGTTTTTTTTTTTGTTTTTTTTATATTTTAAAATACTAAAAAAAAAGAAAAAAAAGTACTCAACGAAGTGAGTTTATTCCATTTTCTTTATTTAACTATGTATATAATTTACAAAAAATCTTAAAAATTTCTAATAACTGCTAACATAAGAATACATCTCTCTAAACTAAAATCTTATTCAGTTTGTGGAATAACGCCAAATAGCGCAGACATTAACTGGAGATAATCCTCTTCCACCAGCTGCACCTGCGACAATTCACAATAGATGGGCTCTGCAGGTGGCTGCAAGTACTGCACTTCAATGGCCTTTGAATCTCCCGCATAAAAACGTTTCCTGCTGTCTCGATGGACTGCTCTTGGTGTTTCGCTTACATCTGTTGAGTCTTGGGGTGTAGATGCTGCCATCTGATGACCACTGCTTAAATTACGCGTTCCAATGGGGCTCAACATGCGAGTCATCTCCAAGTTGCTAGACTGCTGCTGATGTTGCTGGGGATGCTGCTGCAGATGCAGGCGCCGTACCACATTTACGCGAAGGTCGTTGGCGGCACTGCTCGTGCGACGTGCCACCTCGTTGTTGCGATGACTACCAGAAGCATTTCCTGTGCTCATCGCCATGTTCGTTGGCTTGAACTTTAACAATCCATGTTTGCGTCTTACCCACTGACAGCGAGAATCCCGATAGTCTACAATCACCTTGCGACGCACAAACTCATGGAAGCTAAGCAACTCGCTGCTAATGTCACGTCGCACAATTTGTTTCCAGCGCGGCTCTAGCTCCGGAGAGCGTATCACATAGATGCTCTGCGAGGCCACCAACATGAGCAGATGCTCGAGTGCCACTAGACAGAGTTGGCCATCCAAATTACAGAGCAATTCGCTCGAAGGGCAGCTGGCAGTGGACACAGAGTGTGTAAAGCTGCGCTGACCGTCAGACTTCTCGCCAGAGCCCATGTGGTCTGTCACCTCGCCAAGCTCCACGGTGGGCAGGACGTTGAGCGGCACCTCGTGGAAGGCGTGATTTTGCTATATAGAAAGAAAAATATAATCAAATATTGTATAAACATGAAAACGTCTTCTTCTGCTTACCATAGTCAGGGCCTTTACATATATGGTCACCATGTTGAGGACCATGCCAAAAGTGAGAGTTATGTTGCTCTCATTCAGCTTGGGCGCTCCAAATTTAACATCCAGCAAAGGCTGCCATTTGTGTGGCTCATAGTAGCTGCAGCAAAGGGTGTCCAACAAATCAGGACTAAACTTTTGCATTGCCTTCACACAGAATATAATAATGTCAGTCAGGCTGTTGGATAAGAGATTAGTTGCTGAAGCTGAGCGTGACATAATTTCACAACTTACTCATTGCAGGCATTGATGATCTCATCGTCAATGGTAATCGATTCCATGCTGCGCAATATCTCCAGCTGCGATCGTCTGCCCGCGAGCAAGCATTTCAAATTGCGCTGCTGATGAAACATTGAGGTGGCGTGGCACATCAAGCCCTGGACAGCGCTCTGCAAATCAGACGAGTTCTATAAGTCATATATCTCGATTAAACATACTCTTATTTACCATAATGTTGAGCATGGCCGAGCAGTGCTCCTGTGCCCATTCCTTGTGATCTTCCGTTAAGCTGGCCACTAGTGAGATGGCCGCCTTGATTAGCTGCATGGCTGCGGGCTCCAGAGACTGTTTGCCCAGCAGCAGCGAATCCACCAGATAGACCTCATGTATGCCCACAAATTGAATGACATCGTGAAGGAAGCATTTCTTGTGCTTGTCGTAGATGATGTTGACCAGCTCAATGCCACGCGAGTAGATGGGCCACCACTGTTCCATAGTCCAGACATCGTTCGTTGCTGGTTTGTTGAACTCGTATTTGAAATGCAGCAATTCGCGAGGCGGCAGCAGCTTGAGCCACAGATGCTCGCCCACATCACAGTGCAGAAATTCGCTGGAGCAGTTACTCTTAGCAAACACAATCAGTACGTCCAGCAGCTGGATGCTAAGCGTCCGTTTGTTATGGATGGGCAGCGTGTAAGAGACGCAGTGTAGCAGTCGCTGGAAGAGGCGCACCGACACAAACGGTAGGTCCCAGTTACCGGGGCCATCGCTATTAAAGATTGTTGCAACTGCCTTTAGTAGATTAAGGCATAAGATGAGGGAATTCGCGGATAAGAGGCCACCATTGGCTTCCTCTAGTGGCAGTTGCAGTGGAGCCTGTGGATCCAGATTTACGGATTTCTCCATATCCTGCAGCTCCGAGCCGATGATGCTGACCACAGAGTTGAGAAATCGCAGAGAGATCGCTGAATCCTTTATAAGAAGATTCGCGTAGAGATGCGCACACTTGGTTATGATGGCCAGACAGGCTTCCTTAGCGCGCACATGCAAATCCGCGTAGCAGGCGCATATGCGTGACATAAGTTGCTGCAGTTGCTCCATGAGCTGCTGCTCCTCCTCGCTGTTGCTCGTGTATGCCTGCTTGAACTGCAATAGTATAAATATGTACAGCTCGGATAGCATAATGAAGGGACGCATATCCTCCAAGTAGTTGGCCCGCTCTACGAGAACTGTAAGACACTTCTTAGCCAGCAGCTTGAACTGGGCATCGGGTATCGTTATAAAGTTGGGCTGCTTTTTCAGCAATATGACAATGAGGTCTTTAAATGATTGCAAACAGCAAATCCAGTCGGGCAGCTCCTCATTGCAGCTCTGGGTAGCCGGCACCTTGGGCATATCGAAGACATAGTCGAGCCATTGCTGAAAGCAATCTCGTTCGAAGAATTTCTGCATTACCTCGCGTAGTTCGGCCTTTTGGCTGTTGCCCGTGCTGTAGATCTCGATGGAGACTATGTTTATCAGCTGCGTGTATACCCTCACTTGAGGCTGGCTGCTGGGCTTGGCCAAGAGAGGACTGCAGAGCTTTCTCCAGAAATGCGGCTGTGTGAGCAGCTCATCCACAAGCATCTGCAGATTGTGCTTCCACAGCGAATGAAATATATTCATGATCTTACAGGGCAGCGTCTGCTGTATGGTCAGGGGCACCTCATCGAGTGCATCCAGGAATTCTTTCATGTAGGTGACAATGCTGTCCCCAATGCAGGGCGTGCACTCCTTGCCAAAAAAGGAGCGTTTATCATGCGCATAGTTGACTTTGAAGAAGGCTTCTGTGACACCGGGCTGCTTGGCTATGCACGCATCCACTAGCTCCAGTATGGCTATCTTAATCGAATCACTTTCCAGTTGATCGGGCAGTTTTTGCATGAAAGTCAGTCGGATTTGATCTGCCTCCATGTCCAGGCAAGCCAACAGCGACATATTAAACTCCAGCGCAATGCGCTTCAACAGGCGACAGGATACAATGGGCAGCCAGCGATCAAATATGTTGCTCATGTAGCTACAAACTGTGGGTATAATCCGCAACGTATCCCGCTGCTTGGGCTGTGTATAGATGAGCGCCTCCAGCGGTGACAGCGTGTTCGTACCATATACATGGCTCTTCAAGCACAGTACCTGCATCAATATGCGCATCGATAGACGAACAAGCATCATGAGTCCATGTGGCTGCTGCTGCATCCAGTTCGTCTCCAGTTCCATGGTGTATTGAACAAAGGCATTGCCAACGCCTACAAATCTGAGAAAACAAGAGTTATTAGAAAGTCTATAAGTATTGCTTTATACATATACCTCAAGAGTATTAGACCATTATCCAGATTTAACAGAGAGTAGACGCACACATTGAGTAGCAGCTGTCGCTGTTCGCACTTTACCTCGCTGCCGCTGCCCACAATATCGAACAGATCGCATATGAAGCTGAGCACTTCAAAGTATATCTTGTTCTTGTCCAGCTGGGATTTGAAGTGCCAGGTGTGCAAGTGCGGAAAGACGTCACGCAGCAGAAAGACCAAGCCTGGTATCTCAACTTGAAGGTAACGCTGACGCTTCAGCTTTGTATAGGTGCGCAGAAAGTGCAGATAGGCCAAGAGGAAATCGTAACGCTCCTGCTTCTTTTCCACATTATCGATCACAGATCCAAGGAAACGCGACTCGAAGTAAACAGCGCTCGCACAGAGCTTGTAGTCCTGCAGCGATTGACTGCTAGTTGTGGGTAGTATATCCAAATGGCTGACACGCATAAAGATCTCCTCATCCACGAGGGGCAGCAGCGCAGTGCAAACGTTTAAGCAAATGGATAAGAGGCGGGCAGGCGGGCATTGTACGCTCTTAAATTTGCTCAGCAAATCGATGCACATCTCTGTGGGATGCACCATTTCAGAACTGATGCCTGCTATTGATTTGGTGCGCTGCACTGCTAGCTCCAAATACTTGAGACCCGCTTCGACACGTAAAACGCGCTCATTTGATTCGAAGTCGCCGTGCAGCTGCGCCTTGTCACGCAGCAGGCAATTAATCTCATGATGCAGCGCATTGAAGAAGTTCACCTGGCAGCGAAAGTGCATATAGAATCCATTGGCATGCTGAACAGCGGTGCAGCTGGTGCCAACAGGCAGTGTAAAATCGATGCGTGGAAATGGTTGCAGCGAGCTGGTTAGCTCATACTCATTCGTTTCCAACTCCTTGAGCTTGTGTGTCTGCTCGTCATATAGCAGTGCCAGCATGGGAAGCGACTCCAGCTGAGCTTTGATCTGTTTGTGAAAGTAATAGCAAAATAGACAAATAGAGCCGACAGATAGGATTAGCTGAAACTTACATAGTTGCCTTGGCCGCCCTTGGTTAAAGCCTGAGCTATGTTAGCTAAATCAATGAACTGCACAGGAAAGTTCTCGAGTAGAGTATTAAACAAGGATCGCACACCATCATCTAGAAAAAGAACACATCAATAATGGTAACAATTTATGCTTATTGCTTAAACGAACCTTTACGATTGCAGAAGTCCTTGGCCAGTTGCGGCCAGGAGAGCAGCTCACACAACAGTGGAAAGATGCCATCGTACCGGGCACAGCTGCCATCGCCATCGAACAGGTCGCACATATAGCACAGTTGATTGTAGATGGTTTTTCTAACTATGCGAGAGAGCAGGCTGTCATCGGCAAACATGGCATGAGTTGCAATGCTGTGCAGCAGTTCGAAGCATTTGAGCTCTACAGCTCGCTTGCCCAGCTGGCGACAACGTAGTAAACTGGATGCATCGTCGGCATCATTGGTGCCACGCAAACGCAACAGCATCCAGACGAGTAGCAAGGGCCCATGCTCTGGCCTATGATGCATGCTGGATATATCCACATGAAGTTCATCAATAATCTGTTCGATTAGCTCTCCGTTATCACTGTCCAGACACTTGAGCAACAACATCAGCTCTGAATAGGTTAGATTTTTGATCAGTTCCTTATGATAGAGATTGGTCTCGCTGAGATAGTTTTGTATGCGACCGAACGAATGCTGTTTAATGGTGGAAAACAGTCGCTTGATTTGAGTCAAATTAAGATTTTTATGTTCGCTGATCAGCAGCAGAATGTGCAACACTTCATTGGTCTCGCGTGCATTGCGCTCCGACCAGTTAATCAGTCGATCCGTGCAATGGAACCCCTCGCCTGACAGCAGTTTGCGTGGAGGCAGCTCATTAATCAAACTATCCAGTTGATTGAGGTAGGAGTCGAGTAGACGCTCCAGTGTAATCTTATCCACAACTTCTCTGTACTCCACATAATACGGATGATTGGGCACTAGGTAAAATACGAGCAGATTCTTTACAATCTTCAGCACAATCATGCGCTCCAAAGAATAATAGTGCCGTATGTCCTCTAAAAGCTTAGTCATATTCGTCTCTGTGGATATGAGCTGTGTGAGCAGACTGGCAGAGCCACGATACTCTTTAGTCAGATAGTAACATAATATCTCCCAGCATTGAGCGGACTCCAGATTCAGCAGCTCCTGCAGACGTTCTGTGAAGGGCAACAGTTTCTCTTGTTTCTTTTCATTGAGCAGCGTGGATAGCTGCACATTGGAGGCGCTCTTTGGCTTGAACTGTAGGACGCCTGCTTGCAGTTCAGAGCAAACATTCATCAGCTCATCGCGCACTGTGCCTTTGGGTGTTTCATAGTGTATGCCAGATACCATTTGCCAAAGGCGCTTCCAGTCGTATCTACAAAGTAATATATTTTAAGCTCATCTACTTTGCTTTTCTATTCAAGACACTTACATCACATACTTTTCGACGGCGGGCATTTTAGCTCAGTTTATATTTTATATATTCGTGATTAGTTATATTAATAGGCAAATGTAACAATTCCGACAACAAATATTTTAGCACGCGCACTTTTGTTGCGTTTGGTACTGCTAACTTGGGGAAAATAACCGGCAATCGTCAAGAAAGCTGGCAGCGCTCTACGGCAATCATTCGCAATTGACATGAAAGTCAGCTGATCACGTACTGTGCTGCCAGATATTTGAATTTTGAATTGTGGCTATGATTAGCTGCATTTACAAACATTTAATGTTCATTTTAAAAATTTTGGCCAAGACATATTTCAAGTAAGAAACTATTTAAAACAGAGCTTATTTTTATGTTCATAACTATATGTGTATGATTTAGAGAAATTCCAGAAGTGAACAGCGATGACAGCGAACCCGAAAAAAGTAGTACAAAATAAATATCATCAGTATTTTATATTTTAACATTTCAAAATTAATTAAAATTTAGATTTTTTTAATAACACTAATTTATTTTCTTTCTTTGTTTACTTGACAGCTGTTTGTTTTTTTTTTTATAACTTCTTATTCGTTTGTAAATCAGCGTATTTTCCAAATGTAAATAATTTCAATGATTTATCAGTAAACATGATATAAAAATACCTTAAATAGATTTTACGATGAACATTACATTAGAGTAAAAATAATAATATATGTTAAGTAACAGCTCGCTCTAGAAACTCTTAGCATGGAATTTAAATTGTCTTCGAAATAGGTCTTAAGATACAGTAATTTAAAAATCTTTATTTAAATTCCAATTATAGCTGTAATGTTAAGTTTTAGTCTAGACATTGATTAAGAGTGCTTAAGCCATTATATTATATTATTTATGAAATAGTGCGCAGATGCTAAATATATCGTACATATATACATAACACATATATATTAATAAATATATGTAAGTGTATATATACATATATGTTTACATATATACATGTATATAGATTTCACAATACATCTACAGTCAATCAGCATTTGTTCTAGATACTTCAAATACTATGACCTAGCCGCACAGCAGCCCGCACAGATCTGAGTTCAGAGAGCAGTTAAAGAGCTTTATGCCGTATGTGCTAGAGAGAGACAGAGAGCGAGTGCCAGTGTGAGACAGAGAGAGTGGAAGCTTAAGCGCCTGGCAGCAGCCTGCAGCCCACAAAATGTCCTTCGGTTAGTAACAGAAAACTATTGAGAGCAGCCAGGTCTAGGCTGAGTAGCTGAGTCGAGACGAGACGAGAGTTGAGTAGGCTGTCATAAAATCAATTTTAATTAATGCAGCAATAGTATAGCCTAGCAGCAATCTAAAATAACAATAATAATATTAATAATACTAATTATAAATATCATCAATAAATGGCACAACTTGTATTAAATGGTTCAGCGAACAATAATGGCAGCGCTGAGGAGAATGAGCGTAAGTACTATAACAGTAAATGTATATATAAATGTCAATGTATGTGTGTGTGTGTGTGCTAGTTGTGATTTTGATTTTGATTTTGATTTAAGACTGCGAAAATGTGTATCCTGCAGCTTTAGCTATGCTTGTACGTCAGCGGCAGCAGCGCTAGCATCCTTTCAGCTGCGGGCGTTTAACTAGGATGTGGGCGGCTGCTGCTGCTGCTGGTGGGTGGTGGGTGGTGGGTGGTGGGTGGTAAGCTGAGAGAGCGACGCAAGAGCGTGAGAGCGACGCTGCGCAACTCGTGAGAGCTGTCAACATGCAACAGGTGTTGAACTCTTGTTGTCTTTTCTTTCAGCCTATCCCATTAGCGACGATGAGCTGGATGACCTGGACGATGACTGTCTGCTGGAGGAGGCAGATCTGTCGGGCGGCGTGAATAGCATAGGCCGTGGTCCATACGAGCGCGCCTGGACAACGGAAGCAACGCGTGCGCTCATACACATACGTGGACCTATGGAGGGCAGCTTTACGGAGGGCAGGCAGAAGCGAACGGCACTGTGGCTGCACTGCACGCGGCAGCTGCAGCGGCTGGGCTTCCGCTACAGCGCGGCCAAGGTGCAAAAGAAGTGGCACAACATACTCATCACCTACAACAAGAATCTGAACAAGAAATACGTGTCCGGCTATGTGCACTGGGAGTTCTTCGAGGAGATGTTCAAGTATTTGCAGGGCAAGAAGGCCGACTTTGATATGCAGCTGCAGCCGCCACAGACGCCGACGCAGCAACAGCAGCAGCAGCAGCAACAGTCTCAGGCGCAACAGCAACCGCAACAGTCGCAGCAGCAACCACAGCAGTCACAGCAACAGCAGCAAGCGGATTTTCAAAAGAAGCCAGCAACGCCGCAAGACTCTCAGCCCTATATAACGCCCGTGGATCAGGTGCTGCTGCAGCCGCAGGTGCAGTTGCAGCTGCAGCTCGATAGCAAATCGAATGATGAATTCGATGAGGACAGCAATAGTTTGTCGGAGGTGCGACAGCCCAAGCTGGAGTACGATGCCGATCAGACGGGCAGCACCAGCATTCAGGAGCAACCGGATAGCCAAGAGATGGTGATGGCTTCGTCGGGCAAGCTGTACGAACAGTTGGCGCCGCCGCCGCCGCCTCAGGACGATGTCTGGTGGAAGGATTACTTCGAGCGCAAGCTGGACGTGGAGCGTGAGAAGATGGAGCTGCAGCGGAATTTGCAACGCGAACAGCTGCAAATCCAAAAGATGTCCTTGGTGCAGCAGGAGCGCATCGAGCGCATGAAAATCGATGCCATCAACAGTCTGACAGCCACGCTGCAGAAGCTCGTCGAGGCCAAGTGCCGCCGGGCCTAGAGGGAGTCGAGCACTAAGGCTGAAGCACAACAAAACAGTATTAAACTAAGTTCCAATGCATATCCTGTCTACTTGATGTGTAATCCTTATCTCTGTGTAAATACATTTTGGACAATTCGAAAATTTATTTTAATTAAAGTTTCATTTGAGTGGGAAATCTATGGATATCGATCTGTAATAGACTTGGGACAGTATGGAGACTTGCAATGATTCTGCCCGGCTCAACATAATTTATCTGTATTACATATATTTATATTTCTTTATGGTTTCATATTCCACTTTGTCACGTTTTCTATAGCTGCCAATTCACCTCGAACACTGTGGCAATTGAGGTGTCGCTGCCATTTGGCTGCTGCTGCACGCCATAGCTGAGGCGCCACATATCCGTGGAGTAGACCAGGCACTCGCCCGCATCTAAGCGCAAGCTGAGGTTAGGACAATTGTAGTCCGGGCAGGGCTGCTTCGGACGTAGCTGCCAGTCGAAGTGGCCACTCAGCTGTTGCACAAAGATCAGGCCTCGCACATAGATCTCCGTTTGGGGACGCCTCAGCTGATGGACCAACAGCAGCCAGCTGGAATAGTAGGGCTCCAGATGCACCGGATAGTAGTAGGGTTTGTCTGCATAGAGACGCGAAGCCTTTACAGCTTTCGATTCACAGTTGCGGAACTGCAGATGCCAGGCGGAGGCTGTGGGTATCTTCTGCAGCGCAGCATCCAAACTGAAGAGTCGTCGCAGCATTAGATTGCTGGAGACATCGCAAGGCTCGCTTGCCAGCAGCTCTGGTGTCCTATCCAGCATGCGCTGCAGCAACTTGTCCAAATTCAGCTCCAGCTGACAGTCGCTCACAATCACTGGCAGACCACGTTCCAGATACTCCGCTTCCAGCAGGGAGTAGCTGGCATTGGAGACTACGGGTATGCTTCCTGGAATTGAATTAGGAGAGTTCAGTCTTAGAGAGTTCAGCTGATGCCTTGCTCACCTAGCTGCTCGCACAGCTCACAGTTCTCCCAGAGCGTTTCGTGTTTGCCCAACGCCTTTGGCTGCCAATCAGTGCTCTGCTCCGCTGCTCGTTCGATCAGACACTTGGCGTTGTAGTAGGGCGTCCAGTTCCAGTAGGGCAGCAGCTCTATCAGCAACAAGCGCCCCAGGGCGCTCAATGTCCAGGCGCAAGTATCGCAGTAGCTCCACAGCAGATAGATTAGCACGCCGGGCAGCAGGAGCCACTGCATCCACTTTCTCAGTTGCAATAGTCGCCAATGCCAGAGGATTGGCTGGCATATGCTGCGCATTTCCGACTCGCTGAATTCCTGCTTCCGGCAATGCGCCACAAACTGCGTCAAGTCGCTTTCAATGCTCGTCATCGACACGTCCGGTTGTTGCTAGCAGCAGGGACCAAATGAGACTGAAGCTGCCTGGCTGCCCGCCTGCTTAGCTGCCTGATAAGAAATTTTCAATTGCGGAAAATCGAATTTTCTATTTCATTACGCGCTCAGACGTGCAAAGCGCAGATAAGCGATACAAAGGATACTATGCAAGGACTAAACCCAATTACGATTAGATCCAAATGCATTTGCTTCAAATGAAATTACAGCAAAACAATGGCAGAAAAAGAGTTGAAAAGAGTGAAAGCTTTATAGAGTTAGAATTAATTGGGAATTCTAACAGGAAACTTGGATTCATAGAATCAGCTTCTACTTCACTTCGAGAGTTCTGTGATTTAAATTTAAATTCTTTCCAAACCAATGCCAAGCAAAGAGAGCTCGATTCCAAGCAGCAGTTGTTCGATATAAGAGTTGGGCTTTACTCTATATAATATCTATATAATTATATAATATTCCATATATAATATGTCAATATTCAGGTTCAGAACTAGCTCATACATAGCAGTGAAAGCGCAAAAAGATTTCTATCAAAATCTCAGCAATTATTGGGATTTGTCTGGCAAATGGAAATGTCCAAATGGAACATGAGCTTTAAATAATAAATTAAAAATTCATTGTAATTGTGAAACAGAGCATGACTAATCTAGTTGGACTACAGCAAGAAGCAGAAGTCTGTGAATCACACGACTTGTTGTCCGTTGAGCTGATTTTGCCCTAGACAAGTTGAAGGAGATAATCAGTAGCGGCGAGCAGCGACTACGTCGGGTAGTTCAAAGGTATTCGTTATATACTGAAGTTCTCTTTTCTCCAAAATTAGTTTTCAATAAGAACATAGAACTGAAATGGAATGAACAGTGAGCGCTGTTTACCTTAACAGCTTCGAATTGCTGAGAGCAGGTGATGAGGCTGCAACTCAAAAATGGATCAGCTCATGAATATCGGAAATCCTCAAGCCAGGAATAAAAAGGGTTTTGATAATTCTCCAAGAATGAAACTTGTTTAAAAAAACCACAGAAAAACCAAGAATTTGAAACACCACAATGCTTACTGAATAGACTAGGCGGGAGTGTTCGACTTGCGGATACCCAGCACTCAAATCTTCTATACAAACTTGAACACATCCACGCTGAGCTTGTTCTTTCCACAGGCTTCCACTATGGAACGTTGATTATTTATGAGCGGATATGGCTATATTTAGCTCTTCATTACATTCATTACTTCTTCAGCCTATAACATACACATTAGTTCCCATATTCAAACTGATATAGGCTCGACAATATCAACTTTTAGTTGCTCTTTTTTTTATGAATTTCTTCACATTTTATTTGGGTATAAGCGAGGTCAGATTGAACCTTTTTTTTACATACACATTTTATTAGGATATTTTGAATTTTGTTTTTTTTTTTTGTTCCTTAGGTAAGTGCTTTGGAGTTGCTGCAATTAGTTATCCCCACCTGGTCGCTCGCCCTTGGGAGGCTTGCAGGTCTTGAAGAATTCACGAGCGTCGTTGCATTCCTGGTTATCGTTCCAAATGGAAGCGGGACAATTGTGCATGATTTTGCGGAAGATGCAGCCAACCAGGAAGCCAGGTTTATGGGGGCACTTGAGCGCGCCAGGTGGTGGCGATGGGCGTGGCCGATTGCCCATTTTGTCCTTGAACTCGTTCATTTTAGAGCTGCATTTGGTGGCAGCTTCACTCGCAATGCTCTGCAGCTCAGCGTTGTCCTTGAAGATGTCATTCAAATAGGTGTTGAGTGCATCGACGTCCACTTCGTTGTCCTTATAGATGTCTGTCTCGTTAAAGATGCAAGAGATGTAGCACTAATTGTTGAGACAGAGAGAAAGAGAGTTATAGATCGGCATAATTTGAAGATCTCTGCAAAAGGCCAGGCTTACTGGTGGCAGGAAATTATGGTGACGATGTGAACGTCTCTGCTCGTCACCCGACTCAGTTGGAGGTACAATATATTCCTGACACTTCTGCTTCACCTCGGGTGTGGCAAAGTCCGGCAGCGGACAACAGCTCATGGGATTCACGAACTTCGGCCTCTTGCTGCAGTCGACGTCCGCTCGGGCCACGCTCTGTTTCACAATAATTTTCAATCAGTCATTTAACATTTTCAAGTTCGTGTTTCATTTACCAAACAGGCGAGCCCAACGATGAGCAATAATTGCTCAGATTTCGATATCATTTTTTAGCACTTCCAATGGTCCAGCTTCGAATGAGCTAGACATGACATGTGACGAGGGTTTTATAGGCGTTCTTAGTTGATCATGAAGCGCAAATAAATGTTCTTTTTTTTTTGCTCATTCGGAATTAACTTTTTTGCTAAGTAATTATTTCGATTGCCTAATTAATTCAATCGACATCGGTTTTTTTCTGTAGTTTATTTTTATTTCGGATTATCTGTAGTTATTTATTTTGTGTGTGGGTGGCTTAGCTCTTTGTGTAAAATAATCACATTAATAATATACAGATTCGAGAATTTTTAATTTTTTGTGCCACACCTTGATTATTCTCTATTTTTCTCTCTATTTTTGCACTATCCTCTTCTACCTCTCTCCAGCATTTCATAAACTGGAAACTCCAACCAATTACAAATTTATAAAAGTAAGAGTGCTTTAGTCGAGAGTCAACAGCTAGAATATACCCTGACATCTGTGGCGAGTTGTTATTCCAATCTTTTATACATTTATGGCAAACAATGCGCCCATGCCACGCCTCCAGCAGCATGTTACATACATTTAGACAAATCCATGTCACTCTGAATTCCCATTTTCAATGGGTACAATAATATAATAAAAGTAATTGTTGGCCTTGAGCAGCTCATAAACAAATTAAATTCCACAATTATGCAAATTATACAATTTCACAATGCTCAAGTGCAGAGACTTAATTAACAAACATATACGCATGTATGTATGTACAAATATAAACATTTCCTCGTACAAGCTCTAATTTAATTGATATATATAATACAAATTAAGATCATTCTAAATAATAAATAGTTTAACAATGCGCCAATATTAAGCATTTAACACAATTGCTGCCGCTTCTTTGGCTCTCTATTTGCCGACGACTTCGGCTAGGGCAGACTTAACATCCGGATATTTGAATTGATAGCCAGAGGCGAGCGTACGCTTAGGTTGTATCTTGGCGCCAGTCAGGAGTAGCGCCGCACGCTCCTTGCCAAAGATGGCATGAACCACAAATTCGGGCACAGCAAACAGGCAGGGACGATTCAGTGCGCTGGCAAATGCCTGAAGCAGTTGAAGAATTAGCAGATTAGTCAATCTATAGAGTCAACAATTCAAACCAAAATGGTTCACCTGTGAGAAGCCCTTGTTGCTAACAATTTCCGGTGCAACACCGTTGAAGACACCCGATTCAGAATTCTCGATCAGATGCTGGATGAGACCGCACAGATCGTGCAGATGTATCCAGGGCATTATCTGATTCCCGGCGCCCATTGGCCCACCAAGACCCAGTTTGAAGGGCAGCCAAATGGACTGAATCATGCCGCCATTGCGTCCCACGACCGCGCCAGTGCGTACAATGCTCTAAAGTGTTAGTGTTGGAAAATCGATATTGATACACTATAATTCTATATGTGGGTGCACACCTACACACTTGCAGGGCTTATCCTTCGTATCACCAGAGCGCGCTGCTTCCTCCCAGGCCAGACAGAGGCTCGACATGTAGTCGTAATTCTCGCCCTGATCGTCCTCTGTGTACGTCTTGGTGGCCGACGGTGGGTAGAGGCTGACGCCACATAAGTTCACAAACGATTTCACCTTTGGCGCTGCTTGTATCGCCTGACTAAGAGTCTTCGATGAATTCACACGCGAATTCCATACATTTTGCTGAAAGCCAGGCGTCCAGCGCCTGGACGGATCCAGTACGTTCTGACCGGTGGCATTAACGACAGAGTCCACGCTATTTGGTATGCCCTGCTTTTCCAATTCGTGCCAGGTGATGCGCTTTGGTCCGGGCATACGGGAAATTACAGTTACTTCATAGCCATTTTTCGCAAGATGTTTGGATAGATGACTGCCAATGAAGCCAGTGCCACCACCTGTCGGCAAATCCAACTATGAAATCAATCCAAGTCTGTGTCGATTTAAACGTACCTATTAATGTGTGCTTGGACATTTGCACGATTTTTTTAACGGCGGTTTTGGCAATGACTGAAATTGTTTTATAAGCGTTTTGTCTGCTTCTTGTTTATATAAATAAAAGCGCTGCCAACTCGATGCAAAGCAACAAGTACTAAGTGGTAACGCTGGATTGAAGTGTTGTCAGACTGGCGGGTTTTAAAAGTTGGGCGCCAAATCACTTTAGTGGATAGCACTCTGAGAGTTGCCAGACTGTGTGAAAATAAATGAAGCTTTTAACACTGGCGCTGACATTTAAAACGTTGCGCGGCAAATAAGATGAACAAACTGAATATTTAAATAGTGTGAATTTATAGGCAGAAGTCAAAGCAGAAAATGTATGCAAAAGGTTTGTTAAACTGTGACTTAAGTCCAATAACGAATTGAAAGGTGTATCGACTGTTAAGGCTTTTAGTGTCAACGTGAAGTGCTTTTTAAGTGTCCGATAAGAGAGTAAAGTAAGGGACCTGCATTAAACAAAAAATGGCTGTGGTGTTCTCTTATCTTATTGCGTTGAGCGTTTAAAGTTGGACAAGCCACAAGGGACATGCCACACACGATCTCACACACACACACGCACACTTATAAAGATTGGCAGTAAAAGTGCATACTCTGCTATAATACAGGCAACGCTTTCTTCTTGACACATGCAACAGACGCACATACACAGCTAATGGCTAACGAACGACTGGGTTAGCGCCCCTCCCAGTTGGAGACCGGGTTCGTAGCCAAGTTCAAGTGCAGCAGAGACATCATCCTTGCTTGTTTTGTTTTCGGACCAAGTCATTGGAAACTCATTTGCATACACATTGCCAGCATTAACTGACGCCAAGGGGGAAGGCGAAGGAAGCGAAAAAGGGGACAAGGAGGCTAAGGCTAGAGTCGAGCAAGGGGTTGACAACAGTTTGTCTCGCCCAACTATGTGTGGGGCGTGCAGACATGGGCGTGTGCTACGGTCATGTGCCGCCTTTTGTGCAGTCAAATTTTATGCCTTTGAAGCGTTAGAAGAATTTGCATTAATCGCAGCAATTATTGCGCTTCATTGAGTGAAAATGAAATAAAAAGTGCTAGCCAGCCATAATTATAGCGTCTGCGCCGCTTTTATCTATTCCGGCAATCAGCGGGCGCACACGTACCACAGAAACGAAATATATATATATACATCCGAATAGCAGCGAATAAATGAGCGTGAGATGCAATATTAGGGAGCAAAAGTTGGTGAAGCTGTTGCAACTTTAAGACTTAATCAACACTTGAAAGTGACAGCATTCGTTAAACAGCGGAATTGATCGTTAGGCTTGCCAAGTTGGTAATGCAAAGGCATCTAATCTCATAAAGTACTAAAAAATACCTAATTCGAAATGCAATTAATTAGACTGACTTTCGTTAAGCTTTAATGCCTTTTTGAGTGCAGGCTCTGGTTAGAGTACGACATTGAACTAAATTAATGTAATATCTTTATATTAATTTATATGCGTTATTGATAGTTAAGTTTTACTACGTTGAGTAATTTAATAAAGCTTTTAAGGCGTTTCGAATGTTTTCAATGCATGTTATTTAATTAACTTTCGTTAAGCTTTAATGCCTTTTTGAGTATTGGCTAAGGATAGTGCTAAAAATACTTAAGCTTGCATGAAAAACGATTTAATTGGCTTAAGCTTTCAAGTGGGCAAATTAGCTGTGCTAGTTAAGTTAAAAAGCGCGTGATATTAATTGGCTTTTGTTGAGCTTTCAATAACTATGTATTATAAAGAAAATGATTCGAAAGGGAAATTTCTATTTTCGGTGCATTTAATAGCGTTAAGTTTCGTCAAATAACCAAGTAAACAGAATTTCATCATACACAAAGGGCAATTGTTTAATGTGATATATTCCCGTTAAGCTTTGCCGTCGTATTGATTGTTGGTAAAAAGTGCTCTTAAAAAGAGTGCTTAAATATAATTTGCTTAAGCTGCTTGTCTGCTTATTTAAACGATTTTCTTCCAATTTTTGTTGTCAAAACTAAGTGAATGACTTTCAGCTAATTATGAATATATATTTTTTGTGCTGTCTGTGTACCGAGTGCAGTAGCTTAATGCGATAAGGGTTTGCTGTTGCCATAAAAGCGAAAAACTTTGTAGACAAAAGAAAATATGATTGCCGAATGCAAACACTGTCAAAGTGTTGCCGCAGCAACACTGATAGCAGCGGTGGCAGTTGCAGCTGGAGAAGGAGCTGAAGATCCTGCCATGGAGACGCCTTTGACTGGCAGCAGCAAATGAAAAAAAGTTTCTTTGCTTTTGTGTGTATTCCAGCAGCCAAGGGCTGCCAATGCATGCCGGACTTTTCTGTTTGAGTTGCACTTCCGGTGGCTGTTGCTATGCGTCGCCCATACAAGTGGCAACAGCAGCAGTAGCAGCAGCAGCCCAAACAGTCGCCCAACTTATGCTGAAGTGCAAATATGTATGATGACAAACTTCTTTGTTTGCCGACTGACAGAACTGTCTGCACCTTCAATGGTCGCCTCGCTCTCTCATCACTCACATTGCTCCACAAAGTTGCAAAGTCAATGGCACACGCACACAGAGTTATGCATATGCAGATGCAGATATATAAATATATATTTGCAGATATCTGTCATATCTGCTTTTGGGCAGCTACACAACTGGCAGAATGTTTAAATGCAATTCCTCTATTGTTGACTTGATTTGTGCAACTGGCGTGTTGCAGCATTGCTATGTGGACATGTGGCAGCCGCAAAAGTCTGGCAAGAACAGCACCAAATGCAAAAGCGTACAAAATATGCACTACAGTGCGTACTGGCAGTCCGTGTGCCACACACAAACACACATATACTACTTGAAATTTGAGCATACTTCAAATAAATTAGATTTTTGCTTAAATAAAGGAAACTTTAAGGAAACTTAAGAGCTGTGCAAATAAATTACTTTGTAAATATTAAAATTGAAATCGAAAATTAAGATTGCCTATCTATATATATAAAAAATAAATGTATATTTTATTTTGATTTAAACTTTGTTTTTATTTATTTTTCATTAATATATTTTTCATAATTTAATTATTTAGTATTTTCTTTGACAGAGTTTAGTTTATTATTTTCCTTTGCAGCTTTGCTTTGTTTTATTTATTTATTAAATATTTTTTATTTATTATGTATATTTTTCATTTTTATTATTTTTTTTTTATTTTTAGCTTTTTTTTAGTATTTTCTTATGCAGCTTTTTGAAGCCTTTCTTTTTTTCGCAGCTTATGGACTTTTTGCACGCACTGTGCTTTTGTATACGCACACACACACTTGGAAATTTTTTGACAGTTTTATGTGCGGCTGCTATTTAGCTTCGTTTCTGTGTTTTTTTGCAGTGGGGATTAGTTGCCGTTGCCGTTGCCGTTGCAGTTGCAGTTGCAGCAGCATTTCAACTGCACAGCCTGTTGACAGGGGCAACATTGTGTGGTTAACCACTTCAACTCGCCCGCTGTGTCGCGTTGGACAAATGATGTCGAATATGAGTGCTTCTTGCTGTCATAATTACATTGAGCCTGACTAGTTTTGCATGTGTGTGTGCGGCTTATAATAAGACGATAACAGGCCAAGTGAGAGTTGACCTAACAGAAAGGGCGAGAGTGATAGAAAGAGAGGGAGAGAGATAGAGTGGAAGAGGGTGAATACTTCCGCCCCTTCGTAAAGAGTGTAATAAAATCCATTGATGTGTGTCAAATGTGGCCAAATAGCTGGAAAACTAATTTGCAGACAAACAACAAAACCTTTAACTTGGCTCCACTTTACGCCCAAAATCAAAGATAATTGAATTTTTCTAGTTTATCACATGGCACTTTCCACCTTACATAGAGACGATGACGTCGCTGTAGCGATTGTAGTTTTTCTGCGCGCTTTAAAAACCAAAGTTCAAAAGCATCATAAACAATCTGTAAGGCGCAGACAATTTGTCTGCCATAAGCCAGAAACTGGGTCAGACTCGAAGGCGACGCGTTGTGCCAAGATGCCAACCGATGATGGCGGTGGCAACAGTCTTACAGTCTCCAACTACACTCCAGCTACACTGAGAGAAAATTTGAATTGCAAATGTTACGGGTTCAACGAGGTGAAGGTCAACAATTTGTTGAACTAAGCTGTAAATTCTTATGCGAAAGCCAGTTGGGAAATGCGTTAAGACAAGCGCTTAGCAGTAATAAAATATAAAAAAATATTAAAGAAGAATGAAAATACTTAAAAACTTAACTGAATTTGTTCAAGAGAAGTGCTAGAAACTTCTCTGCTGGCAGCAGAGTATTCATGATAGTCATTGTGCTTAACCTTGGAAAGTTAAAGCTCAATATCGATTTTTATCGATAGTGAGCTATTTTCTATATCACATTCAAATGGATATAGATGCCTAGGGTTGCTGAGACTAATCATGGAGCTTGTCTTAGCTTAGCTTATCTGGAATGTCATTCAAGTGACTTGAGCTAAAACTTCCACAAGCTTCATATCCTGTTAACCCACTTTACGTTACTATTGAGCAAACATTTTTCTCTCAGTGTACGCCCTGCCATTGATGACGGTAAAACTACTACGGCTCTGGGCGCTGCTGCTGCTGCTTCGTTTGCTGACGCAGCTCGGCTAAGTGAGGTGCAAGGCAAACAGTGATAATGTGGAGAAGGAATCGGTTTGTTGCCCAGGAAGTCGCCAAGTTGCAAGTGGGTCAAAAGTCGAAATGCGCCAGCCAAAGACAATTTGTCACACCAAATTTTGCACAACAACAACAAAAGAAAAGCGAACTTTTAATGTTCATTTGGGGAATCAAAATAGTTCTCTGTGTGTGTGTGTTTTTTTTTGTTTTCTTTCTTTCATTCAGTTGCATCCTGTGCAGCCACTAATGATCTCTGCGCCAAATTTAGAAGTTCAGCAAATTATGCCATACACAGCTAGAGAGAGGGAGACAATGAGAGAGAGAGAGAGAGAGTGAGAGGTAGAGAGCGAGTTTTCTTCATAAACAACTTCATTTGCGCAACTTCAAAGCATCGACGCGTTCTGCAGCTAATGGCAAATAGGGAAAGGCAGTGCCAAATGCCTTTTTGTGTGTTCAACGGATGCAGTCGACAGATTTAAAGGATCTGCTGGCTGACAGCTCGATATTGAGATCCGTCACACGGTCAAAGATCAAAGACAAAAACTGATTAAGTTTTGGCTAACGATTTGAAGAACTCACAAGTTGCTAGAATTGCAGCTGAAATGCACTGTTTATACGATGAAATGGAGTATATTGGCTTGAAGTTTGATTTG